TTTTTTTTTTTTTTTTTTTTTTTTTTTTTTTTTTTTTTTTTTTTTTTTTTTTTCTCATTAGAAAGCTTGTAGGTAATAATTCACTGTGTTTTTGCTCGTTTCTCCTTTTTTTTTTTTTCTTTTTTTTTTACTAACTACTACTAGTCCATTGCCGGTTCCAACCGGCATAGGGTGGCTTCCACGTGTAAAAATCGACTCACCTTGCCGATGGCGAGCATACCACAGGTGACCGCTGGATTGACGTGGCCGCCGGATATGTGGCCGATAGCCGTTATGGCCGCCGCCACGGTCAAACCGAACGAGAAGCTGATGGCCAGTATGCTGCCGGTCATCACGGCACCGCAGCCGAAAAAGTTGAGCAGCATCGTCCCCAGGAATTCGGCCACCAGAGCCCGGAACAGGCCCGCCTTCCTGTCCGTCAACTCGTTCGTCCCGAGGACCGTTTTTATACTCATTGCCATATCTGCGGAGCATACCAGTACACATAAGTATATAACTATACGAGTGTTACTTTTTATTTTTTTATTTTTTAGTGCGAGCAACCGTAGATCATGCAGCTCCTGCCTCATCTCATACCGAACGAAAAGGATACTCGTAAACTAGAGCTCGTCTATGTCGATTATATTATACTTCGGGGCTGCGTCATTTTAAATTTGGTTTTCCTTTGTCCTTAAGGGGGAAGAAAAAAATTGCAATCACTCGTACGCACGAGCGTCGTTCGTAAGACGAGTGTATATACACTCGCTGACACAGATCTCGTTCTCGCGAGGTGGAAACACCTGCGAGCCCAACATCGGCGCTCAAGTGCTATTATACACATGTGTGCAGTAGTGAGGTTTTTTTTTTTTCTCCTTTGCCCAATATATATATATATGTGCGATTGTTTATGAAGCGCAAAATTTTCCTACCGCCTTGGAGTATGGATGACACAGCCTGGCTTCGTTTGATTTAAAAACTTGCAGAGTGGAAAACTGCTTTGGATGAGAAATGAATGGAGAAACGGTTAACATGTCAAGAATAGGCAAACATTTTTTTTTTTTTTTTCATTTTCCAGCTCGTACGCGTATAAGGAGCAGTCTTGAAAAAATAACGTATTTTTGGTTCGCGCAGTGAAGCCAGTATAGGTATTTTGGAGCTAACGACGACGACGTGTGTTTTAAGTTATTTTGTGTATGTGTGTAACCTAAACTCGGACGAGTTGCCGGTACGTCGTTTCGACCGACGTTTTCATAAATATACATCCATTATTTTTTCATGTTTTCGCGTGGTCGTTACATTTATTTACTTTTTTTTCTTTTTCGGTATACATGTCATTTTTTTTTGTACGGCAGTATTTTACGGAGACTTGATATTTGCTTACGTTTCACGCGTCCCCTCATGACTTACGTTTATTGCATTCGTTAAAAAAATATACACCTACCACTCGTGATTAGGAAAAAAAAAAAATAATAATTTGGAACCAACCATAGTTTAAAACTCGCCGAGTATGATTCGGTGTTTAAAAAAATACAATGTGAGCGAAATCGGTAGGTATACGAATGTCCAAATTTGCATTTCACGGGTCCTTTTAACATTTTTCGAGCAATTCGGTTGCAAATGTTTGCCGAAACGATGGTAGTGACATCATCACGTTGAGCGACAAAAAAAAAACAAAAACCACCAGATACTCGTAGTAGGGAGGAGTTTTGCAATACTGAAACGTTTGGTCGTTGCCCGTGCAAATATTGTATCGACAACCCGAAAAAAAAAAAAAAAAAAAAAATTAAAAAATCATTCCAGCCGAGACTAAAACTCGTTGTCCATTTCTTTTCAAACTATTTTTCTGGTGAAAGCAACTCTCGCACACTCTTGCAAAGATATATTACAAAACTGGAACTTACACAGGCAAACTTTTTGGAGCTACAAAACCGCGAGTGAGAGAGAGAGAGAGAGAGAGAGTTTAGCGTGGGCTTTTACAATTTATACACACCCACGACTACGTAGGCATCATCATCATCACCTTATGCGACGTAGAACCCCCAATCAACTCAAATCCAGCTCAATTCGCTTAAATAGAGTCGAAAGAAGGATGTTGTTCATATAATTGTACGTATCATCGTCATTAACGATGACGCGCTCTCCGGTAAGTTTAATCGGTATTACCTATACGCACATGTTATAATCGGTACAGCTCAATCAGTCGGTACATTAATAACAACGACTCCACGTGTGCCACTGTTTATCTCCGATCGGTGATGGATCATCGGTTCTCTAAAAATACCATTGTTTCAATTGATGCTCCGCAAGTGAAATTGCGCCATCGACCAAGTTGTGGTCAGACCTGCCGGACATCGGCGTCTGACTCGACTAGGCTGTATCTACTGATCGGAAATATATATCATGGCCACGATTTTACACGTACATTTTACAATACACCCGATGTGTTTCTTTAAGGATAAAAAATATTATTTAGCATAGTACCTACTCGTTATATATACCATGGATTATCGCACGCAGAAGCAAAGACAGTTGCGCTTGAAAATCATACCCGTATATCTCATACGTATACAATATATCACCTCCGAGCGAATCTCTCTCCGCGGAAACGAGCACTAAAGGAGGAGGAGGCTCCACGTGATACCGTTATGTGCTAAAACACGCGCAATAATTTGCATCGAAGAAAGGAGGGAAGGAGGAGGAAATCCACCCGCCTATCTGTGCACTCTATATCTGGAAAACTGCACCTTCGCGATCGTCCACACCAGCGCGTGACTATGGTAATAACAACTCTATTGGCGAACATTCCCGGGTTGTCGTTCGACCAATACCGATCTTATGCCGATCTCGCTATACCCGGGCCCGACTGTTTTAGCTCGAAAAGTAATTTATTCCGACTTTACGGGGTGTACGGAGAAAAAGATACGGGTCGTACGCTTCGTTGAAAATCGCATGAACGGTGGATTTAGTACGTGTATATTATGTACATAAACGTAGTTTCGAAGCGGCGATGGTGGGTAAATCGAGAAAATCGGAGGAAACAACAATTACTTGCAAAAAAAAAAAAAAAAAAAAAAAAAAAAAAAAAAAATTGAGCGAAAACCTCACTCGGTTGAAAAAGCGGCCATGAAGGAGAAGAGCATTATATATTGTAGCATCGAGGGATTTTTGATCGTGAGCGCATAGAGCGAGGATTGCCCGGACACTGCGCTTTTGTCGTCGTGTTTTACGTTGCCGTAGTTCAAGGATCGAGGGACGGCGGTCAAGCTGGCTGGCCTCCCTTTCTGCCGCTCGTGAGCCGTTGGAGCTGCAAAACAACGGACGCGGATGATGAGCCCTTTTTTTTTGGTGCTGTGAGTTGTTTATAGCTGGTGAATCGCTTGTGATGCTTTTTTTTTCTTTCGTGCGATTTTTTGCTTTACACCCCCAGACTGCCTTTTTTTTTTTTTTTTTTTTCTGCGATCGTTTACAGGCCACCCCGTCCGCTGTCAATGTACTCGAATCGCTGTGGGGCAAACAGAATTGCTCGCTCAGTTTTTTTCTTTTTTCTTTTTTTTTCATACNAAAAAAAAAAAAAAAAAAAAAAAAAAAAAAGAAAAAAAACATCCCACAACGAGTACAAGGCGCCCATCATTTCTCAAAGTCTCGAGTGATTCACCGATCCCGTGCAGCGGGTTACGCAAACGTTACACAATTACGAATCCTGCCGGCGAACCGCTCTCTATGTATACATATACATATACATTGCACCATTTCTGAAAACGGCAATCAAGTATCGACAACTCATCTTATCGGTACAACAGCTCTCCATAGGGTTACAACTCACCAGTCCCTCTGATGCACCTCGGGTACTACAGGTATAAAAAACGTAGGTAGGAAGGAAGGAGAATATACAGTGAGCCGAGCAACAATGTAACGCGCAATGTAATACACATTTATGTATGTATATTTAATGTACACTCTGACGTGCACCTGTATATGTACATTAATGTATTTCTGGAGCTACAGCCGTGCGGGTCTTGGCTCTGGCGCGGCCTCGATCTAAATTCACGATTGTCACAACAGCATCGGGGGAACCGCTAAACGACAGTCGCGTGTCGGGATATACAACTGTACCTACTTTTTCTTCTTCTTCTATTTTTCTCCCTTCTCATATAATGTCTACTCTCGATGTATACATATATTGAAAACAAACGTACATCTAAAATCTACATGGAGAAGAGGAGGAGGAGGAGAAAGAAGAGCGCGGGGGTGGCTAATTTCATCCGAGACATGGGGGGCTCGCCGGCGGTCGTCCCGCAAATCAGAGCGTGAACTCGCGCCGTGTGCTGCGACCTGAGAAGGTCTTGGCGACCCGGCTGGAGGTACGTATTATATAAAATAGAAAAGCAAAGGGGATATATACATATAAATATATGTATATTTACGTGTACACAAGCAAGCGGGCCTTGTTCTCACGGGCATGAAAAGTTGGCCATCCGCTCGGATGGTGGACCTTTGCGATCGTGCAGCCGCGGAAGATAGGAAAGACGATCTTGTCGTATAATTGTTATTGTCTTGTGAGCTATTGCGGAGATTCGGATTATTGGCTTGCCATATATTCGGATTATTTTCTTCCTCTACTTTTCATCCCAAAGCGCGTAGAAAACGTTACGCGGTGTTGCGTTGAGTTTCCATGATTGCGAGCCGATCTTTTAGTATACCCTCCTATTAAACGAATCGTCCAATTATTAACTGACGTATGCTTCTCTCTTATTTCTTTAATCTCCAATTATGCGTTATCTATACTTATATTAGACGTCCACGCCTCGATGATAGATATATACGAGGAGGGCTTCATTGGGACGGTTTTTTTTTTTCCTACATTGTTTAGCTTGTTGTTGATTTTTTTTATTTTTTGTTTTTATTTTTTTTTATATCTCGGAGCAAAGAATGAAAATTACATTATTTTTTCATTCGGTGCGGAAGCTATTCAATTTGTAGCTGATGGCCGTGCTTTAGCGTTAAATGAAAGAAAGACAGAAAAAAACTGCAAAAATAGATAAGGTGTAAAGATATACAAACGAGTTGTCAAGGAAAAATAAAATTATTTTTAGAACAACACGCAGGTGGATATCGCGTAAAGAGTTTGGAATATGACTGAAAAAGTTAAGTGCGGGGACAATAACTATATATTGTACATAAACCATTGTTCCCGAATGATCGATCATCTTCGCAAACATAATCAAACGGACATGAAAGATGATGATTTTTTTTTTTTTTTTATCAGCGAAGCAATTAAAAAATTTCGTCATTACCGATAATCATATAGTTTTAACCGAGGCATTGGGGGAGCAAACATTTGCCAAGCGACAGTAAAAAACCGAGCGTCACACTATACGGTATGGGTGTTCGCAGAAAACTTGACGATCGGGTGCTCTTAATGACACGTATCACCTAAACGCCGCGATCGTAAAAGTTATTTCGAGACCAAAGTGTACACCTACACCCGCTCGCGGAAGGAAAAAAAAAACAAATCGCTTGTTTACGCCGTTTCGCTAAAACAATCGGCCGATCGAGAGCCAATACCGCCACCGGCCTCACGCCGATTTACATATCGGCGAGCCGTGCAGTCCGCGCTTACCTAATCCGATTGTTTCGCGAGAGAGATCGACCTCTGAGTGGCTTGTTATTATTATAATTTTTTTTTTTTTTTTCGTTTTACCGTCATTCTCAAGCGACTGCGCGATCTCGGAAGTATTTACCGCGTGCTTCTCGTAGCTGCATGTATACATTGTAATTATTGTAATCGTGATGAATCCACACGTTCGAGTCCAACAAAAGAATCTCGGGATTACGTGTTTATACACCACTTTTGTATCGATACACGGTAACACAATGTCTTTGAGCGCTTGGCCGATTATACAGGCGGTGTAGAATTACCATTGTACACTTGGACGCCAATTATACGCTTCCAGGTAGCGCAGCTAAAATAATAATATTACCTCTATATTGTACAATAAATTGTGCATCGGCGATACGAGAAAATCTTTCTTTTTCATCTTACACTGCACCCACACCGTGAAACATATATGTAGGGGATATTAACCGCTACGTGGATGCTAATGTATACAAGTATGTGCATTTGTACATCAAGCCGCTCTTGCCGATCCTCCCCCTAAATGATCCGCATATATGGCTCGGCTGGTCGCCTCCTCGGCAATCTGCTCACGGCCATCGCCAGAAAGCCAGTGTGTGTATAAGTGCACGTTCTACTTTCCAGCTAAGAAGGTGCAAGCGAGCGAGCCATATATATATATACGTATGGAGAAGGAGGCTGCCACCGAAGCAACGATCTTTCGTCCGATTAGGGGAAAAGAGCGAGCGGAACGGACTCGCTGATGCTAACTTGTTCCCGAGCCACGCTTGTGCACCATACGATTGTGCACGATATAGCCTCGAGTAAGAGAGTCTCCTTAAATCGAGCGCGAAAAACCGGTAAATCGGCTTGCCGATTTTTTGCCGGTACACATCGCGCAAACGGGGTACAACCCGATGAGGGCTTTTACAAACACCAACCGAGAGACCATCGCGCTTACATCAATCATCGACTGCGGCCGTGCATTACGTGCCGATCGAAGGAGCTCGGATCTCCGCGCGTGTATTTTACGGTCTTTCCTTCATTTTTCATAAATCACGCGCGCTCACGGTACAACACACGCGTAGCGCAAGCACGTTTTTATAAGTTCGCGTTTGATTTTTTTGTTTCGTTTTTTCGTCGTGCGAACAGGTCCGTTGTACGCGTAATACCGATCTTCATCGAGGCCGTACATCGCAAGGAGGCGTGCGTGTAGTATTTTTCTTTTCGTTTGAAATTCCACACACACGCGCGCACGGGGATAATATATAGGATCGAAATATGCACTTTGTTCCTACGCGCATGTATATATTTATTATCTCCGTGTAACGTGGCCATCACACTGTATGGCTGTGCTATTACAACCGAGATGAGTCTCATGGTGCTCATCTCGAGCGACTTCCCGTCAGCGTCTCCGCACCCGTTTGTCTTTCATGCACCACTACCATCTGCAGGGTATATAGAGGTATGCGCTCGCGGGGATTACGGTAATTAGGGGATGAGAGCGTGTCGTCGTCGTATAGACCTATACCAGCACAGATGGCATATCTGCACTTTTGCGCCGAGACCTCGACTAGAGTCGATTAAACGTTTACAGCTTGCCGATTATTCTAATTTGTGCTTGGTATTTCAACAACAGCCACACTGGTAGTACTGTTCCAATGATATCTCCTTGCAACATGCAACGAGCATAAAGCGCAGCAAGTGCGATCGGCTTTTCAAGGAGTCCCTGTATATAGACTTGGTACTCTGAAAACCCGTTAAAAGAGGGGAATGGTATATATGGCGCGGTTTTTTTTCCTAATATAGCCTCGTCTGGCGTCACCTATACGTATTTTATATAAAATGTACCGATTTATATATCGATCGCAAGAGGTGTTATTGTTGAGCCGGTGGTCATAGAGTGCACGTATACACTTGCATAATGGAAGAATTCGCCGACATGGCACACATTTCCCAGGCAACAATGCGTCGTTTCGAGAAAAACTACACACACACACACACACACACCTCGTTTTTTACTGCCACCGTGTGTACCACTTGGACGCAGCTTTACGGCTCTGCTCTGCTACAATGTCCCTATACCTTTCTCACGGACGATTTTCATTTTGCGCGGAACCCGAGGCCTGCATCTGTGTGACCGTCTAAGATAATTCAGGCTGCCTCTGTTTTCATTGTTGGGCAGGGGATGAGAGCTTTGATTATATTGTGTTTCTACATGTATATATAATATGGGTGTGGGCAAACAACAGAGAGAGAGAGAGAAGGAGGACGGGGTTTACAGTGCTCGACAATCTTGGGCGCGAGTCCCTACGTGCAACCATCGTCCGACTAGTTTTTGCTGTTACTTCTCGCCATTGGCTCTTCTCTCGGTACATCGTTAAAAAAAAAAAAAAAAAAAAAAAAAAGTACCTATACGACTTCTGCGAACGTATCGGTATGGGTATATCTACGTGCTCTTTGTCTCCGGTGCAGGAATGAGAAAATATCGTTAATAACCGAGTTCCGTTTCAACCTCATTTCAATTGGATATATATATATACGGTATTATACGATGGTCAAAATATGATGGAATACTTGTACACGTCACGTGATATCCGATTCCCGATCGATGCGTAAATACATTTTCCCAATTTTTTGCATTTAAAACCTTACAATGTGGTATCACAGCGTCCCTCATTATTATCATTGTACTACTCGATGATCATCGAATCGTAATCGCCGATGACGTCACTCGCGCAGTAAACTCATAAAGATCACATTCCCCAAAGAGTGTATAACCACCGCACTCGGGCCATAAAATGATAACAGTTGAACGCAATTAGACTTGGCGCGTGGTTGAATATTTCATGTTATTTTTCGTATATTCTACATGCACGCACCAACTGCCGATTTTTTTTTTTTTTTTTTTTTTTCAACACGTACGAGTCATGCAACACACTAGCGACAAAACTGACTACCCTCGTTTCCTTGCTAGCGACAAATCGTACACGGGGATCATTTACGTGGATGTGAATAAACTCGGGCAAGCTCGACAGTCGGCGAAAACGACGCGCGATGAACCGTGGAAATTATCTCCCGCAAGTTGTATACCGATCGCTGAGACTGTGTGGCTTCCATTGTAACGTTACGTGTACAGAGTCGTTCGTTTTATCAATTAACGGTACCGAAGCTTTGCACTTGCAGGCGAACCAACAACCCATGCACAGATCGCCTCGGTACTCGGAATGTATATTGCGCGCGGATGGATCACCAAACGGAGGGGGGGATCGGATTAGGGTCTCGTTTCAAGGAAACGCCGTAGCTTGGATATCTGTGAATAATTAGCCGGGACGTGGGCGGTTTTCTTTTTCATACCGATGTTCTTTTGAACACGGAAATATAGATTATACCTTGAAATTGGGAATAACGCGATAGACAAGTGGCGTTTGGGTATGGATATACATTACACGTCAATAGCAACGTGTTCGCGTCATCTTTTACCTAATCTGCGTGGGTACAATTTTTCAAGCCGATAGCTTCCGGAGTTGGCGTATCGGTTGATCAATTTCTCGCAATTGTAAAATAATTCAGACTCCATAAGGAATTACGGATGTACGTGTAACAGTACGTGCGTGGCAATTACGTGTGAAAATTTATATGTTAAATGATGCCGCGCGCGTGAGAAATAAAATTTACAATTAATCGTGTTTTACGAGCTCGTGACGATGCCTGCAGAGTACCGCTATACGCACGTACAAGATAAGATTAATCTTTTAGCGGTACTCGCGTTATTCACATGTATTCGACACTGTTATTTTCGGTTTCGCTCATTGACATACAAAACACACAAAAAACAAAGGTAAGACGGGCGTGATAACATTTTTCGTGAAAAATCGAGCGCGCGAAATGTACGTGTTGCGTAAGCTTCGAGCGAGGGGTGCACTTTTATTGCCCTGTTTGAAGTTAATTTGGGATCACCGGCTAAAGTTGACGGAGATTGACGATGCGTCGAAAATAATTTTCGTTTTTTCATGCTCGTGTTAAAATTACTTGGAACCGATCTTGGTGCGAGTACAAGAAGTTCAAAAAGGCGATGGTCACTTTGATATCTCAAATGGCTCCTCAATCCATTGATTTTTTTTTTTTTTTTTATACATAAGTAAAACTGAAACAACAAACTTGAACTCACCGTGTGTATTCAGTCGGAAAAAAATCACTCGCCGCTGCTTGTGTACTACAATACAAAGTTCTTCCAAAGCACCTGTACCGATTTCACCTCACTGAAACAACAATTAAACAAATAATAAAAAAAAAAAAAAAAAAACCGCGAAACTGGACGAGCATCGGTATATTCACACAAGGCGTGCGCAAAACGGGGATGAAACAAGATGAATGAAATGATGCGAGAAGGGGGTAATAATTAGGTAAATGTATACCTATCCCGAAAGCGAGCGCACGAGTTAGTCTCTGTTGGCCGACTGAGGCTCGCTATAGCGCCCACCGATCTCATATAGCTCAGCAACAGCAGCAAAGGCGAGTATAGTTGTGCCATTCTCTCTTTCTCTCTCCGCGCTTGCAACCACCTCTCTCGTCTTCTTTTGCTTCCTCTTTTAATGCAATCATCGTTGCGCTCAGCTGGGTTCCTTACCTCCACCACCTCCACCTCCTTCTCATGTGATAAAATATACATGGTGCAGGTGTATTATACTGGCTCCTTATCCCTTCTATACACTTACGCATGCATATATACATATATGTACGATACGGACGGCCAACTCGTTGGCTATTTTACAGAGGGATCGGTTTCCGCGAATGATACGCCGCTCTGCTTTGGCGAGCAAGGCTACGCGCCCGCGACGTGTGACGATCGGCATAGCCTGATGCGGATCGTATACACTATACACGTGTGTGTACCATAATATATATATATATGTGCGATTGTTTATGAAGCGCAAAATTTTCCTACCGCCTTGGAGTATGGATGACACAGCCTGGCTTCGTTTGATTTAAAAACTTGCAGAGTGGAAAACTGCTTTGGATGAGAAATGAATGGAGAAACGGTTAACATGTCAAGAATAGGCAAACATTTTTTTTTTTTTTTTCATTTTCCATCTCGTACGCGTATAAGGAGCAGTCTTGAAAAAATAACGTATTTTTGGTTCGCGCAGTGAAGCCAGTATAGGTATTTTGGAGCTAACGACGACGACGTGTGTTTTAAGTTATTTTGTGTATGTGTGTAACCTAAACTCGGACGAGTTGCCGGTACGTCGTTTCGACCGACGTTTTCATAAATATACATCCATTATTTTTTCATGTTTTCGCGTGGTCGTTACATTTATTTACTTTTTTTTCTTTTTCGGTATACATGTCATTTTTTTTTGTACGGCAGTATTTTACGGAGACTTGATATTTGCTTACGTTTCACGCGTCCCCTCATGACTTACGTTTATTGCATTCGTTAAAAAAATATACACCTACCACTCGTGATTAGGAAAAAAAAAAAATAATAATTTGGAACCAACCATAGTTTAAAACTCGCCGAGTATGATTCGGTGTTTAAAAAAATACAATGTGAGCGAAATCGGTAGGTATACGAATGTCCAAATTTGCATTTCACGGGTCCTTTTAACATTTTTCGAGCAATTCGGTTGCAAATGTTTGCCGAAACGATGGTAGTGACATCATCACGTTGAGCGACAAAAAAAAAACAAAAACCACCAGATACTCGTAGTAGGGAGGAGTTTTGCAATACTGAAACGTTTGGTCGTTGCCCGTGCAAATATTGTATCGACAACCCGAAAAAAAAAAAAAAAAAAAT